TAAGTCTGAAAATGAGCTATGAAATATGTTAACATTTTGCCAAATTTGCCTCAGTTTTGACGGGTTTAAAAATAAATTAAAAACAAAATTTGTGAAACTTTTACTGCCATGTGTTATAGTTAATGAAAACTAGAATTGGGCTCTATCTCGATTAAAATGATAAATTGGTTTTAGAGCTCTTAGCAAGGCTTAAAAAGAGGTTACTATTTCTCTTCTGTGTAAGTTGCCCAGGTAACTGATTCCATATCTCAACAGAATGATTTTCTCTGCTATGTTTTGGCTTTATCATGTTCTAATTTTTTAAAAATAAAAATCTACGGTAATTCTCTTATAAAATAGCTAAATATCTTTGCAAAAGTGTTAACTTCTTATATGTTTATTTCAAAATATTTTATTTTATTGTCATTTTGGTTAAATAGATAACCAAGTACTATTATATTTCTCAGGCTCCCATGATCCTGTCTTAATGGCCAAATTTCTCTGATAGCTCTTTTAATTTTGCTTCCCAATATCAGATCCTAAATTTAGAAAAAAATTTCAGGATATCTTTCTATATATTTATTAGATACCACTATTATAAAACCATCATGGGCAAGAAATAACAAGCATTGGCAAGGGTGTGGAGAAAAGGGAACCCTCATGCACCATTGGTGGGATTGTAAATTGGTGCAGCCACTATGGAAAATAGTATGGAGACTTCTCAAAGAATTAAAAATAGAATTGTCATATGATCCAGCAATTCCACTTCTGGGTATTTATCTGAAGAAAATGGAAACACTAATTCGAAAAGATACACATGCCACCCAATGTTCACTGCAGCGTTATTTACAATAGCCAAGATATGGAAGTAACCTAGATGTCTATCGATGGATGAATGAATAAAGAAGATGTGGTACCTATATACAATGGGATATTACTCAGCCATAAAAAAGAATGGAATCTTGCCATTTACAACAACATGGGTGAAACTTGAGGGCATTATGCTAGGTGAAAGAAGTCAGACAGAAAAAAGGTGAATACCATGTGATCGCACTTACATGTGGAATCTAAAAACAACAGCAGCAATTTAAAGAAACCGCACACTCATGGATATAGAGAATAGATTGGTGGTTTCTTGAGGTGGAGGGTGGCAGTGAGCTAAATGGGTGAAGGAGGTTAAAAGGTACAAGTCTCCAGTTATGATACGAATGTCATGGAGATATAATGTACAGCATTGTGATTAAGGTTAATAATACTGTATTGCTGATTTAAAAGTAGCTAGAGGAGTGGATCTTGAAAATTCTCATCACAAGAAAGAAAATGTTGTAACTGTATGGGTGAATGGTAACTGGACTTATTGTAGTGATCATTTTGCAACATATGCAAATGTCAACTCCTTATGGTGTACACCTGAAACTAATATAATGCTATGTCAATTATACCTCAATGTAAAAACAACATGAAAAAAATCATTTTCAAAAATTATAAAGAAATTCTTCAAATCCTTGGTGCTGAAATATTTCTAATTTTCTTTTGGACAACTTATAAGGTATTTAAAAAGCTCACTGAGACTTAGTAATACAGTTGTGTTTAACATCTGCTCCTAAAATATAATGAGCTGATCATTATCAATGAAAAACGTTGTAATATTTGTTGCATGTAGAAGAAAATAAAAATGGAGGCTTTAACCTGTAACAAAATCTGATATTAAATATGGCCTGGGTGCAAAAAAGAAGGGTATCATGGGAAGAACTGTCAAATCAAAAGAGATGTTCAGCCTTTTCTTGGCTAAGGTTACATAAGTAAAATGCTATGAATATAACTATTTCAGAAGTTGCATGCTTTATGGGAAGGCTCTGGAGGTTTCTCAATGCATTTGCTATTCATAATATGTTCTTATCTTCAGGGGAAATATTGGTGAAACCCTTATGAAATAGTTATGTACTGTATCCCAAGAAAGAACTTTCCTCTCTTCCACTCTGATATTATTGGCTACTGTAATAAATAACCACAGCCTTTCAGGGTCATTACCAAAAATGTTTCTGCTTTCCTACCCTTACCTGCAGGCTCAGTTAGAAACTGCAGGCCATAGTTTGTGTCTTCCACAAAGGACAGACTCAAAGCCTTGTTGAAAAACACCACACCAGGTTCTCTGAACTACTGATGTTTCATTTGGGAGGATGCCCAGCTGACATTACCCAACCTTTAGACTAAGCTAATGGGCTGACGATTTCTAGGGCTCTTTTGAGTGCAGAAGCAGCCAGCTCACCCAAGATCCAGAAGAACAAAAATTCCAGGAAGAAGTGGCCAGGTGGTTCAGTTGGTTAGAGCGCCTGCTCTGAGCAGCAGGGTTGCCGGTTCGATTCCCACATGGGATGGTGAGCTGCACCCCCCACCCCACCACCACTGCTCCGCAACTAGATTGAAAATGGCGACTGGACTTGGAGCTGAGCTGCACCCTCCACAACTAAGATTGAAGGACAACAACTTGACTTTGAGCTGATGGGTCCTAGAAAAAACACACTGTTCCCCAATAAAGTTAAAAAAAAAAAAAGAATTCCAGGGAACTGAATGAATGGTTCAAGGAATCTAGCTGTGGTTATTTGTTGGAAACACAGTTGGTATTATTTTTATTGGTCTATTTTTATAGATCTATAAGAAAGTTCTTTCTCTGTCTTCTTGAGCTCTCTTTAATCTTCAGTTTAGTAGATTACTGCGTTTATAAACCGAATTAAACATATTAAATGGTATCTGTATCTTACTGACCCCCTCCTGATTCAAAACCCAAAACTTTTACCAAATCTCCTTACTTTCCATGGCAATATAGTTATTTACACAGGTTCAGTAAGAATCTGTCCTTTTTCATGCTGGGATTTAGTCACATAAATCAACTGTGTAGCTGTAGTGTCATACTGGAAAATGGTTCTCATTTAATCAGGTGTAACAAGTCCACTCTAAGGGACACCCAGGGAGCCAATGCCTGCAAAGTCCTCCTAGGGACCAGGTAATAAGGAAAGCCATTTCTAGGCAGGAGAGGGATCCTAGAAAAACTGGGAACCTCAAGAAGAGAGGAGGTCCCTCACATTGATTGGGGTTACAGGTGAAAACTGGTGGAGAGAAAGTCTTGGGTAGGTTTCCTTGCTTTAGGATAGAAGTTGGGAGGCCAACTCATCCCCATCGGCCCAAGACTTGTCCAGTTTTAGCCCTGAAAGTGCCACATCCCAGGTACCCCTCCCGTCCCAAGCAAACTGAGACAGATAGTCCCTCTAGATAGAAGAGTAAATAACAGAGATTTTAAAAGTGCAACCTAGGATTCCATATGAAAACTCCTGGACAAAAGCTAAAACGGCTCAATGTATCGAAAGCCTAGATTTGCAGAGCAAACTCAAGGAGGCTCAGGTTTCATTTCTACCCTTGCTGTGCCTGTGGAAATAATCAAGCCAAACCTGATAAGACCAGCCTTTTTCATATCAAGAAGAAACTTTGGAGATTATTTATGATCACAGAAATATTATCTGAAACTTGGAAATAAGGCAAAAAAGGTAGATATCACATCCTTTCAAGCATTGTATAGACTAGAGGAATGCATTTAGTTCATCTCACTGTTGACCTTTAATTAAAAGTGCCAGACTTACTGAAGTTACTTGTTAACATGTAGATTTTTGTCCAGGAGAGATGAAAATAATTTTGTCTAGCAGAACAGATAACCCCAAAGATTTATGGCCTGTTGGACATTAGCCATTTTTAAAATTGAACTCAGCAATCTTATCCTAACACACTTCTGTCAAATTGTCTATAAATATCCTAGCTTCTCAAATGCCCTTTGAACCCATCATACATCTTACTGGTTCCCTCATTAATTAATAACAATAATTAATTAGGTAAGACCTTTGATAAGTTTTGATTTTATATTTACTTGAAAGTCTCTCTTTTTTTACCCATTAGAAAATTATATATATATATATATATATCAGCGGTTCTCAACCTTCCTAATGCCACGACCCCTTAATACAGTTCCTCATGTTGTGGTGACCCCCAACCATAAAATTATTTTCGTTGCTACTCTATAACTGTAATTTTGCTGCTTTTATGAATTGTAATGTAAATATCTTTTTGTTTTCCGATGGTATTAGGTGACCCCTGTGAAAGGGTCGTTCGACCCCCAAAGGGGTCGCGACCCACGGGTTGAGAACTGCTGATATATATATATATATATATATATATATATATATATATATGGGTTTTTTTTCTTTTAATTTTTTTTTTGGAACAGCCATGGTCATTGGTTACACATCGCTTTCATGCTACAATGGCATAGTTGACTCTTAAGGAGGGCGCAGCACACAGTGGCCCATGCAGGGATTGAACCGGCAACATTGGTCTTATCAGCACCACGCTCTAACCAACTGAGCTAACGGGTCACCCCTAGAAAATAATATTTTAACATTAGCCATTCATACTTTATTGTGGCTCTGAGGCTGGAATACAGAAAAGGTCAGTTTTGATGGGGGAAGCACAAAGTCTGGAGCTTGGAGCAGTATCAGGAGGAGACAGCAGGCCTGGTGAGATGCTAACAACCCACACAGGCCCCTTTGCAGGGAATGAAAAAAAAACAAAGAAAAATCAGTGAGTCTGGTCTAGGCCACAGCCTAAGACTCCTTATCAGGATGTACAACCATGGCTGATTTTATGTTTCACTGAAGTTTATAGGCATTGACATGGTTTGATTTCCAGGACTCTAACTGCTCCCCAAGATTTTCCTGCTCAATGGGCTTAAAATTATATCATTTGTGAGTTACTTCTTCCGTTTAAAACCCTTTCCTTTGTTAAAATGTAAACGTCTCTAGAAGAGACAGCCACATAAAGTTGTATCAGTCATTTACACATTAGTATAAACAAGTTCCTCACCCTTTCTGAAATCAACATTTAGGTGAAAGAAGGGGGAAGAGCAGGCAAGCCCCGCCTTCCTGGGATGGGAAGTCTTAGGAGGCTGCAGAAGAGGGGTTCAGGGTGGGACTCACCGCCAGGTCTTCACGAGTGACAAAGCCCCTCTCCTTGGCACCGGAGTCCTGGAAGAAGCCCTGCAGCTCTTCAGTGGCCTGGGAGGACCAGGACTCCAGCTCTGGAGCTGCAGGAGCATCGTGGCCGTCAGCAGGCTCTCGTGTCTGCCGCCGGCGGCTGGAGCCCAGCTTCCGGCCTTTGCGGGTCACTTTCTGCCCAGCCTCCATGCTGCTTTGGCCTGGGGAGGAAGCATGGTGAGGAGCACTAGACTGCTGCTGAAAACCTTCCCGTGGCTCCTCATTACCCCTAGAGAAAACCCTCCATGGATTTTTCTGATTGGACCCCCACTGGCCTCTCTGAACTCCCCCTCCCCCCCACCCCACTCCCATGGCCTCCAGCAGGTCCTACTCAGGACCTTTGCCCTTTCTGGTCCCTCTGCCTGGGATGCTCTTCCCCGAGCTATCCACACGCCCTCATCTTCTTCAGATCTCTGCTCAACTGTCCAAAGTCTTCTCTGGCCGTTTTGTAAAACAGCCTCCACGCAGGATGAGTTCTATTTTTTGACTCCAGGGTAGTTACACAGGGTCGTCCAGAATCGCACTGTCTGAAGGGCCAGAAGCAGCTTGCTGAGCCCTCCCTCCTGTTTCTCTGAGCTCGTTTCCTCACATCCCACCCTCTGGGAGGGGATTCCTCCACAGTGGACCCCTCCCTCCCTGTTTCGCCTTTTTTCCTCCTCAACACCATTTCTCTACTCCTTTGGCACACACACCAAGGAATCAGTAGCTCCCCCTCGTGGCTTGTATGGCCTTGCATGATGTGCCCCTCCTTCATTCCCTCACCCCCACACCCTCAAGGTCCATGTCAACCCTTCTGAGCCACTTGCCATTCCCAGAATGCCACATTCCCTCCCACCCTTCCTCGCTTTGCCACAATCTCCAGACTCTCTTATCCCCTCCCCTAGTTGGTATCTCTTCCTTCCTCAGCTTAGGGGCCATCTCCTCCAAGAAGCCTTCCCTGCTGCCACACCCCACATTTCAAGTAGGGTTCTGTACCCCCTTGTCTGTGGCCCCATGATGCCCTGGGCTCCCCCTATGGATATCACTGTGCACCTTGGTCCACATTGCTCCCAGCTCCTTAGCACATAGTAGGTGCTCCAGTCATGGTCATCCAATTCATGAATTACAGTCCTTTAATCTGTTGTTGAATGTCTTAGTCCAGTCAGTCAATTAATAAAGATTTTGATGAATAAGGACTTGTCCAGGGGAGGCTCCAGGGCAAGAGAAAGGGAGTCTGGAGTTTGGAAGGGGTAGAGTTGGGGCCTGTCCTAGGAGGAATAAACCTGGGGTACACAAACCTGTATGAGATGGGAGGGGCTCGGCAGCTTCCTATGGGCCATGGGACTGGAGCTCTAAAGGAGGCGAAAGAGGTGAGTAGGGTTTAGAAGCAGTGAACAGCAAGGGCACCCTCTCTGGGCTTCCTTGGAGGGGTTCAAAGGTCACAGACAGGCTGAGTGGAAGGGTTAGGGAGCTCTGCTTCAGGGATGATGTGCTTACTTCAGGGGACTGGAGACACTGGTCCAGCCTCCCTTGGGCAAATTCCTTCACACAGGAATTGCACAGGACTTGAATGAAGCAACTCCTCACCCTGGGGAGGCCCCCAGACATTTAAGTGAAGTAGAGTCTCTCTTCTCTATTTATTTCTTTCCATTGCTCTGTCTCTTTGTCTCTCACACTTGGGGCCTTCAAAGTCTGCTTCAGATGCAGTTTTCAGATCACAGTGGTGTGCTGGAGCCAGATCTTAGGCACACTTGGAGCCAATTGTGCACATCTCTTTCTAACTCAGTGGCTTGCAATCAGCCACTGTGGGAGTATTTACTCCATGCGAACTGGCAAATGCTACAAATCAGGGTTTTTTCCTCCCAAAGGACAGTTACCAGCACATGTCTTCTGAGAAGACTTCCTTCTGTTCCACCCCTTCCCCAGATCTAGCATGCATTTAAGGGACAAGCATTTACTGAGCACCAACTGCATGCCTGCAGAGTGGTAAGCAGGCGTGTCCGATGCACGTGGTTCCGGTGGATGAATTAGGAAAAGGTGCCCCTTCCTCCTGTCCCACCCTCTTGACCCGGAGATGTGGAAAAGGAGACCCAAGAGAGGAGGTGACTTCCAGTCACAGTGCTCTGGAGTCAGACAGACTCCACCTCTCCCAGTCCTGCCCCTCACTAGTCGTGTGACCTTGGGAAGTCATTTAACATCCCTCTATCTCAGTGTCCTCACTGGAACATGAGACTAATATTTACCACACATGGTTGCCTTGAGGATTAGATGAGATAATTCAAGTTGAAACGCCACCTCCCATTCTGACTTTACTTCCTTTTAGCACTTGTCATCTTCCCAGAATAGTCTTTTATTCAATTATTTTGTAGATTTCCCATCGCCTCTTACTAAAATATAAGCCTCATGTGAGTCGGGAGTTCACTCTTTTGTTCACTGTTCTATCCCAAATGCCTAGGTCAGTGCCTCACATACAGTCGGCACTCAACAAATATTTGTTGAATCTGTAATCCATGTAAATCACTCACAGCTATGCCCAACATACAGTGACGGCTAGATTAGGTGGCAATGACAGTGGTGGTGATGACATGAATGAGGGTGAAATTCCATTCAAGCCTCCTAAAAGCCGGGTACTGTACAGATATGATTTATCCCCACTTGACAGATGAGGAAACTGAGGGAGGGAGGCTCTGAGACCCAGAGACCTGCCCAAGCCATGAGGATGGTAACAGAGCTAGCATCAGCTCCATTCCCCTGGTTTGTCACAGGGTGGACTTCCCCCAAGACCACTTCCTGGAGAGGAACCTTCTTGATGGGCAGGAGGCCCCTCTGTGGATCACCAATGGAGCAGCCGTGGGTGGGACAAGGGCTTTATGAAGCAGGGCAGAGTGGGCAGGCTTTGCTCAGGGTTGAGAGACTTGGAATTTCAAGTGTCATATGCACTTCCGTTGATGGAGATAACACATGTGAAGCAACGAGATATGATTCTCACTGCAGAAGTTTCTAGAAACAAAGTACTGGGGGAAGAGTCTACTGCGATGTGGATACCACAACACTGAGTCTGTCAGGCTCCCACAAGTCAAGGAAATTAGAATCCTGAAATAAATTCCCTGTGACCACATCTCAAGACATAGGATGTTCTTAATATAATCTCCCTTCCGGGGAGCTCCTAGTCAAGTGGCACTCCCACAGTCCATTTTCAGCAGTCCCCTGGCATTTTATAAAAAGGAAGCACCCAGCCCCAACCCTGCCACAAGCCTCACGTCAGCCCTCTGAGCCAGCCCATCCCGGAGGGTCACTCAGCCGCTCCCTTTTTGCCTGTCAGGAAGCCTGGGGCAGAAAGGCAGCAGGTACCCCGCAGCTACCTCAAATTCCCTGTCACCATCAGTCAGAGACAGTGTACTCCCCCCTCACAGCCTTGCAGCACACCCTAAAAAATGTCTGTGCCCCCTTCATGGCCAGGCGTGGCCATTCAGAGACAGTGGGACACCCTTCAGACAGTCCTCACACAGGTGTACATGCGTACGCACACACACTCCCTCTCAGCCAGCTTCACTCAGCCAGCCATCACCACCACTGCCTCATGGTCAGCTCTCTCACAGTCGGACACGACAGCCCTCACGGACGTTGGCATGTACTCAGTCACTCAGAATACCACTCCTCACAGCCAGCCAGCAGGGGCACCCCTCGGTCAGCACCCCCTCCTCTGCCACATTCCCCTTACTCTCCTCATGTTCCTTGCCCATGAAATCGTACAAAGTTTGAAGCCAAACGTGAGAGCAAATGAATCCCACTCCCAGGCATCTATAGGAAACAGCTCCCTGCTGCGGGATTCTGTTAGGGGATCAGCCACCACAGGCTTTCCGGTCAGGACGTGGAGAGCTGTATAAGAAGGATGGGGTGGGGACAGCAGCAGAATTGCAATGCAGGATCTGCAGGTGCCTTACGGCCACCTCAATTCCATCATTTTCTCACCAAATGGGTGAGAGCTAGGTCTGCTCTTCACCCTACTTACTTCAATAACTATAAATAATAGCGACAGTCACAGAACCCAAATTGCCCAAGTTGGTGGGTCTGAGAGAGCACCTTGTTCTAGTCGACTCGACTTTTCTCTTCCCCTCTCTAACTTGATAGAGAAGCTGAGGCTCTGAGAAGCCAGGTGACTTGCCCCAGGTCACACGACCATTTAAGGTAAGTAACCTCCATGACCCCCATGTACAGAGCCCCAAATTCACAAGAGAAGAGGGCTCAGCCCTTTGCAACCATGTCATAGGAGTTGGATGGGGACCACTACTCCCTCTCCCGTCCTCAACCCTCCAAAGAAAAAAAGCATTGCAACTCCAGGGTGGCTCTCACCTCTCCAAGTCTCCAGTCCTGCGTGCAGCCTGTGCCTCCTGGACCTGGTGATGAGGCAACCCCTGCCCCCAGGAGCTCACCAGCTCTGGAACTGTTAACAGTCTCATCTCTTGCTTAATTACTCTTTCCGCTCCCCAGCGAGCCAATCTCCTGTGTTCATCTGTGAGACTTCCTGTAGAGGCCACTGGTTATCCTTTCACAATCTTGCCTGGTACCCCTGAGGCTCCCTTATCCTAGAATCTCAGAGCTGGAGAGTGCTGGAGCTGTGAGGGAGGTCCTTCTAAGCAGAGGCTCCGAAGGGGAGGTAAACTGCTCAAGGTCACCCAGGCCTCAGTGGCAAAGCCAGAAATTGGACCCTACTCTCTGGCTGACAGGGTGATGCCGTGCCTTATCCCAGCCAGAGTGTTGATGGGAAGTTACGGCTAAAGCTGGGCGTAAACCTACACACCATGCCTTACCTCAGGTCTTCACTCTCAGACAGTGTCTTGGAAGACCAGGGGAGGCTTACATCTAAATCATCTTTTACCCTCAAGGTCCATGTCAACCCTTCTGAGCCAC